GTCACTCAATATAATATTATGATATACATAAATCATAATATTATACTATATATATAAATCATATTATACTTTATATATATTAAGAATACCAAAATCGCTTGAACGATTGGTGCGGGTGTGTTATGTTGCTACCGAGTGCCGAGCCTTTCGGTCCTGGGCTGCATACCTCTAGTTAGCGCCCATCGCTTGTTTGACTTATATTCGCCACTTTTTCAGAGTCTGCCTAAGCCTTACTCACTGGAGGAATGTGCAAAATGAAAATAATTTACAATAAACAAAAAAAAGTTCCGGTAGTTTCCTTCGAAAAAAGCGAGTATTTGTCGCTCATTTCCTAAAAAGCCAACTCATGCTCCCTTGTTTTTCTGACTACGATTTGTATGTCTAAAGGGAGGTGAAGTGCGGCCGGGAGACATTGGATGATATTATCCAATTATAGGGAGAAAGAGAAAGTTGGTATTTGTTGTGCAGTTCAAGGAAAAGATGGACCTCTCGTAAACCGGTACACAAAAATCCAAATTAATTCTTTTGACATTAATTAAAATTTCACTTCTTCTTTCTCCAACATCTTACAAGTGACCAGTACTAACGAGCCTATCGACAGAGAGAAAGAGCGAGTGTGGGAGAAAATCAGAGAAAAAAATTAACATTTCACAGGAAACTTTCCAAATTTCTCCTGGCAGCGCCGGGTGACAGATATCTCGCCTTTTTCCCGATCTCTGTTTCCGCAGACAACGGAGCGAGAGATTTTTGAATCCTGATTTTCCATGCATCCAACCAAACCTCTTTCCCCTACCTCCTTCTCCTTCTTCCTCCGGAAAGCACCACCTTTTCTAACCAAAGAAAGGAGAATTTTTAGCTGTCCATTCTTACTGGCCTCCCTTCTTGTCAGTCTCTCGAAAACAGGATAGGCGAGTGACCCGGCCCATCCCCCTTCGTTGACCGCCCGAAAAGAAAAGTGGGAGGAAATCTTCTTAGAACGTTGTCCGACCGTGAGGATCTTATAACGCCTGTACACATACCCTAAGGCTCATATAAAAAGGACACCGCATTTCGGTGGTGTGTTTTGTGCATTTCGAATCAAACCGTCATACACCGCAGATACCACTGGAAGAAAGGAAAACAACCCGTGTTTAATCTGCTGCTTTATCTAATCATAATATTGGTACCATTGCGAGCGTGATTTGTTTGCTTTCAAGCAGAAAGCAACATCGTGAGAAACCCGCTTGATCAAATTTGAATATTCTTTTTTCTTAAATATTGTGTCGGGATTTGGCGCCCTTCGATTTCATTTACCGCACTGCTATTACTACTGTAATAGTGATGATGCCGGAGCAGTCATCGACGCTTCGCCTATTACTATTATCACTGAGCAGCTTTATTTCTGTATTAGCAATTCCAATTGACAACGGCGTCGAGGGAGATCCAGAAATTGAATGTGGTGCAACTGCGGTCTCAATAAATTTTAATACGCGGAATCCATTTGAAGGGCATGTCTTCGTCAAAGGCCTTTACGATCATGAGGAATGTCGATCGGATAGCGGAGGAAGACAGGTTAGACTTACTTACTTGCTTATTTAGTTAATTACTTCTACTCTCTTGCTTACTTATTCGATCGCTTACTTGCTTACTCATTATTTATCTACTTTTTACTTCCTTACTTGCCCATTTATTTTGATGGGCTGCAATTCGCAGCTGTTTCTGCGGCTCTACGGCTCGCAGCTATTCCAAATGATTTAATCAATGCTACATGACCTTTTGGTCAGTCTGTTGGCGACTCTAATGTTGTGTTTTTTT